TTACAAAGGAATTTAAAAGAAAATAGAAAAATCAATGTCAAATTTGGCAAATTTTTTGATAAATTTAAAATTTGACCAAAAAATGTGATAATATCCCTAGAGCTCGAGGCCAAAACTAAAAAAAATTAAAATTTAGACATTACAAAAAAGTCTTTTTGACATGAAACTTTTACATAGGATTTTACATGCAAATATAAATATCCATGTCAAATTTGGCAAGTTTTTTGATTAATTAAAAATTTGGACAAAAATGTGATGGTACACCTAGAGCTCAAGGCTAAAAATAAAAAAATTATAATTTAGACATTACTGACAAGTCTTTTTTAAATGAAACTTTTAGAAAGGATTTTACATGCAAATATAAATATACATGTCAAATTTGGTAAATTTTTTGATGAATTTAAAATTTGGCCAAAAAGTGTGATGGTACCCCTAGAGCTCGAGGCCAAAACTAAAAAAATTATAATTTATACATTCGTGACAAGTCTTTTTTACATGAAACTTTTACAAAGGATTTTAAATGCAAAAAGAAATATCTATGTCAAATTTGGGGAATTTTTTGATGAATTTAAAATTTGCCCAAAAAATGTGATGGTGCCTAGAGAGCTTGAGGCCAAAACTAAAAAAATTATACTTTAGACATTATTGACAAGTCTTTTTGACATTAAACTTTTAGAAAGGATTTTACATGCAAATATAAATATCCATGTCAAATTTAGCAAATTTTGATGAATTTAAAATTTGGCCAAAAAATGTGATGGTACCCCTAGAGCTCGAGGCCGAAACTAAAAAAATTATAATTTAGACATTAACGACAAGTCTTGTTAACATGAAACTTTTACAAACGAATTTAAAAGCATATAGAAATATCCATATCAAATTTGGCAAGTTTTTTGATAAATCTAAAATTTGGCCAAAAAATGTGATAATACCCCTAGAGCTCGAGGCTAAAACTAAAAAAATTATAATTTATACATTACTGATAAGTCTTTTTGTCATGAAACTTTTACAAAGGACTTTACATGCAAATATAAATATTCATGTCAAATTTGGCAAGTTTTTTTATGAACTTAAAATTTGGCCAAAAAATGTGATGGTACCCCTAGAGTTCGAGGCCAAAACTAAAAAAATTATAATTTATACATTACTGACAAGTCTTTTTGAGATGAAAATTTTACAAAAGATTTTACATGCAAATAGAAATATCCATGTCAAAATTGGGAAATTTTTCGATGAAATTAAAATTTGGCCAAAAAATGTGATGGTATCCCTAGAGCTCGAGGCCAAAACTAAAAAACAATTATAATTTAGACATTAACGACAAGTCTTTTTTACATGAAACTTTTACAAAGGATTTTACATGCAAATAGAAATATCGATGTTCAATTTGGCCAAAAAATGTGATGGGACCCATAGAGCTCGAGGCCAAAACTTAAAAAATAATAATATAGACATAACTGACAAGTATTTTTGACATCAAACTTTTAAAAAGGATTTTACATGCAATTATAAATATCCACGTCGAATTGATGGTACCACTAGCACTCGAGACCAAACTAAAAAATAATAACGTAGACATTATTGACAAGTATTTTTGACAAGAAACTTTTACAAAGGATTTTACATGAAAATAAAAATATCTATGTCATATTTTTTAAACTTTTTTGATGAATTTAAAATTTGGCCAAAAATTGTGATGGTACCCTAGCGCTCGAGGCCAAAACTAAAAAAATAATAATTTAGACATTATTGACAAGTATTCTTGATATAAAACTTTTAAAAAGGATTTTACATACAAATAGAAATATCCAAAACAATTTTCGTAACTTTTTTGATGAATTTAAAATTTGGCCAAAAAATGTGATGGTAACCCTAGCGCTCGAGGCCAAAACTAAGAAAAATAATAATTTAGATATTATTGACAAGTAATTCTTGACATCAAACTTTTATAAAGGATTGTACATGCAAATAGAAACATCCATGATAAATTTGGCAACTTTTTTAATAATTTAAAATTTGGCCAAAAAATCCCTAGATCTCGAGGCTAAAACTAATAATAATAATTTAGACATTATTGAAAAATATTTTTTACATGAAACATTTGCAAAGGATTTTAAATGCAAATAGAAGCATCCATGTCAAAATTTGTAACTTTTTTGATGGATTAAAAATATGGCCAAAAACTGTGATGGTACCCCTAAGAGCTCGAGGCCAAAACTAAAAAATACGGAGTAATAATTATGACGTTATTGACAAGTCTTTTTTACATTAAACTTTAACAAATGATTTTACATGCAAATAGAAACATCCATGTCAAGTTTGGTAACTTTTTTGATAAACTTAAAATTTAACCAAAAAATGTGATGGTACTTATAGAGCTCGTGGCCAACACTAAAGAAATAATAATATAGACATTATTGATAAATATTTTTGACATCATACTATTAGAAACAATTTTACATGCAAATATAAATATCAATGTCAAATTTTGAACTTATTTGATGAATTTAAAATTTGGCCAAAAAGGGTGATGATACGCCTAGAGCTCGAGGCCAAAACTTAAAAAATAATATTTTAAAAATAATTGACACATATTTTTGACATTAAACTTTACAAAGAATTTTACATGCAAATAGAAATATCCACGTAAAATTTCGCAAATTTTTGATGAATTTAAAATTTGGCCAAAAAATGTGATGGTACTTCCTAGCGCTTGAGACCAAACTAAAAAAATAATAATGTATACATTATTAACAAGTATTTTTGACATGAAACTTTTACAAAGGATTTTACATGCAAATAGAAATATCTATGTCAAAGTTTGCAACGTTTTTGATGAATTTAAAATTTGGCCAAAAACTGTGATGGTACCCCTAGCGCTCGAGGTCGAAACTAAAAAAATAATAATTTAGACATTATTGACAAGTAATTTTTGACATTAAACTTTTAAAAAGGATTTTACATGCAAATATAAACATCCATGATAAATTTGGCAACTTTTTTGATAATTTAAAATTTGGCCGAAAAACACTAGAGCTAGAGGCCAAAACTAAAAATAATAATTTAGACATTATTGAAAAGTATTTTTACATGAAACTTTTACAAAAGATTTTAAATGCAACTAGAAGCATCCATGTCAAATTTTGTAACTTTTTTTATGGATTAAAAATAGAGTAAATTCCATAATTGGTCCTTTTTTTATCAAGTCATTTTTTACATTAAACTTTTACAAAGGATTTTTTACATGCAAATAGAAACATTCAAGTCAAATTTGATAACTTTTTTTATGAATTTAAAATTTGGCCAAAAAATGTGATGGTACCCCTAGAGCTTGAGGTCAAAACTAAAGAAATAATAATCTAGACATTATTGATAAGTATTTTTGACATGAAACTATTACAAAGGATTTTACATGCAAATAAAAATATCCATGTCAAATTTTGTAACTTTTTGATGAATATAAAATTTGAACAAAAAGTGTGATTGTACCCTGGAGTTCGAGGCCAAAACTTAAAAAATAATAAGAGTAAATTCCCCAAATAGTCCTTTGTAATAAGGTGTTTTTCCAAATCAGTCCTCAATAAGTTTTAATTACCTAGGTGGTCCTCTATAATTGAGATTTATTCCCAAGATGGTCCTTCGTAAATAATGTTACTCAAATGAGGATTAATTGAGGGTATTTTGATATTTTTTATCCGCTAAATTTAGAATTAATTCTTAAAACGATCATTTATAAAGAAGTGCTTTCCCAAAATGTTTTTATAATGTATTTGATTTGAAATTTAAAATATTTTTTTATAAGTTTTAAATAATTCATGAATTATTTATGGTCAATATATTTTTTCAATTTTACATTTAGTTGTACAGAAATAATCATTTCAAGAATATACTTTAAATTTGAATGATCAAAATACCAAAATATCTCCCAATTATTCATCACTTGAATAACATTATTTACGAAGGATTATCTTGAGAATAAATCTCAATTATAAAGGACCATGCCGGTACAAAGTGGGATACAAAACATGGGGGTACAAATAACTTTACCTTACACATTTTATAGTGTAAAAATGGACAGTATATTATTGGGAATGTAAGACACACGGGCCTAGGCCAAGCTGTCTAAGGTCGTCGTCTTGATAGCTCCGGTCCCACCTCCAACCATAACCACTCTTTCGTTCCTTCCTTCCTTCTCTTGGGCAGTACGAGTCTGCGAGCTCTAAGTAGTATCTCTCACTCTCAAAAAAGTACGCCACGCCCTCTACAGCATTATCAACGAAATGATAAATGGGTAAGGCCAGCAGATGGTTCCGCGCGCTTTTAGGATCCAAAAAGTCGTCTCCCGGATCGCCCAAGGCCAAGAAGAGCAACGCCAGGAACTCCGGTGGTGTCACCCGGGGGACCCACTCTCACAGGAACGGCGGCGATGCGTCGGCGCCCAAATCGCACACCTCGGACGCTAACAAGCACGCAATCGCTGTTGCCGCAGCCACTGCCGCCGTGGCCGAGGCTGCTCTTGCGGCGGCTCAGGCTGCCGCGGAGGTTGTGAGGTTGACCAGCGGAAATAGACCCGCCGCAGCCTGCGTCAGCAGCAGCTTTGATCGCCGCCGTGAATGGGCTGCCGTTAAGATACAATCCGAGTTTCGAGCTTATCTGGTTCGCAATTAAGCGTAATAGATACACACAGTTGCAATTATAGGGAGTACTAATTAACTATGTAGTGATAAGTACTAATTTCAGTATAGTATGATAAAGATTTGATTTTTATGCGTGCATTCCATATCTGCAATCGCTTTAATTTCGATACTAAATATTGCAGTTCAATTTTGATACTATAGCTACCCTATAACACCCTAGCTAGCTAGCTAGTGTCTGTTGTTTTGATACACCGCACTGTAGTGCTGCGTACTAGACATATATATGTATGAAAGCATGGAATGGTTTGAGTAGTTAGTAATGTTAAAAGCCTTAAAGGTGATGGGTGCATATATATATATATACATATATGTATAGGCAAGGAGGGCGCTGAGAGCACTAAAGGGGCTTGTGAAACTTCAAGCGCTGGTTCGAGGGCGTATAGTCCGGAAGCAAAGTGCAGATATGCTTCGTCGCATGCAAGCAATGGCTCGAATACAGGCTCGAGCCTGCGCAAACCGATCTTTACTCTCTGATGCTTCTCACCCTCACATCAGCAACACCTCAAAGATCCATCATCGGGTCAGTATGTATTATCAGCTCCTCTCTCAAGATGGTCAATATACAAACATACATATCATCATCTAATCAAAGTAAGAATAAGGAACAATCTCGCACATTTCAATGGCATGGGAAAACGATTGTAAACACCTGATGATGTGTTGCATGCCAAAGGCCATATAATTGCATTGTTTATAGGGACTAAATTTTGTTTACTAACTTTTCTGCAGGGCAGTTCATCTCTTAGTAGATTTGAGTACTTGCAGCAGCAGCAGCAGCATTCATGTAGTACTATTGATGGATCTAACCTAAAGGTTATCTCATTCTCCCTTCAAATTTAATCCCGAACATGAATCTTTTTCCCTATTTCCTCTCTTGTAGCTCTGTGATAGACTTCGTATTCGGGTAGATCTAGTTGTGCTCAATTGAGCTGTAATATGCCCATATTGATGACTTCTGTTTTCATGTTAATGCAGAGGTGTTATTCAAAGTCAAACAAAGCCGAGAATATGAACATGGGGAGAATGGATTCAGGCTCAAAGTGGTTAGATCACTGGATGGAAGAGTATGCAAGGAACAATTCACATCTTCTTAACATGGCAAGGGGGTATGATGATGGTGAGAAGAGTGACAAGATACTTGAGATAGACAATGGGCAAGCATCAAGAACCTACTATAACTCTATGTCGTCAAGTAGTAATCTGAAGAAGCCAAATCCTGCCAGTCTATCATCAGGCGAAGTCTCATCATCTTCTCAATCCGTTAAATTCCCTCGTGAAGTGAATCAAGAAGGGAAATGGATGGTTGATCAGAGCCCATCAGCTGCTTTCCATTCTTCTTCTAAACATGGAGGTAGCAGTAGAAGTCACAGAGGAGGAGGGGGAGGAAGAGGACCCTTTACTCCTAACCGGAGCAAGTGCACCCAAAGCCTGTGTTTCAGTGACTTCCCAAATTACATGGCTAATACACAGTCATTCTCGGCTAAGGTGAGGTCCCACAGTGCACCCAGACAAAGAATGCAGCAGAAGTTGGTTACTGGTCGTTGTGACACGGACACGGTTTCAGAGAAGAGTTGGAGCATACGTGGTAACTTCATGGGCAAAGGTTATGCAGGGTCTGGACGCATGGTTATGCAGACCCATTTAAGTTCTTAGAGAAAAACACTGCTTCGAATTGTGCTTGTTTAATGACTTTTTACTGTCAATGTTTTCTTCAGATAGGAACTATATAAATGTTGTTCTTGTAAATGATGGAATAAGGTGTGTCACCCCTCCCCTTACTGCCTGTATTATCTCTTCAACAATATATTATGGAGTATAAAGATTGAAGCTTTGGCTCTCAGAACAACTTGCATTTGGTTTCGCAGACATTCATGAAGTAAAGAATACAATATGTATTTATAAGATCATCATCATCATCATCATCATCATTTATTTTGCCTGTTCTAATCCGCTATGTCCTTGCTTGGTTTATCTTGGAAGCAGCAGTCTCTGGCTCATTTGACCTCAAAAGAACGAAGGTTGTCCAAGACGTTCATCCAATACTGCACCAAGTAAAGAAAAAAAATTGTTATGGAATAAAATGTACTATTGTGTTTCATGAAGAAAATGAAAGAAAACGGTTGTGTCTGACTTCGTCCCACAATTTGTTTCTGAAAAAAAATACCAGTTGCCCTTATCTACGCATTTCAAACATAAAATGCAAAACATACTATTCACAATCAGTGTTAGGATCAATGATGAAGCCAAGAGAGACACCACAAAAGCCAGGGAGAGTGGCAATGGAAGTGGCATTGGGGTTGTAGGTGGTGATGAGGTCCATCATGCACCTGCACACGTTCTGGCGGTTATCGGTGGAGTCAGCCACATTGCTTAGGCTGAGCATGGCAACGCAGCAAGGAGAACCCGGGATAGGGTCTGGTGCTCCATACATCACAAAGCTTGAACAAGCAGAGATTAGTGCCTTCACTATTGCACACTCTTCTTGTTGTGGTTGCTCGTCCCCCATTGCCCCATTCCCCCACCACCACCACCCCCTGCTGCTGCTGCTGCTCGTTGTTAATAACACCAGCATCGTCACCACCCACCCAACACTTTTCAGTTTCCTCACCATCTGAATTATATTTATGTGTAATTATCTTTATTATCCTTATTAATCGGATACTCTCTACTTTAACTACAGTAGTAATTAGTTATCCATATTATACTCTTTATAGCTTCTTTGGTTTAATACTCTGTATATATAGCTACCCCACACTATAATTGAATGTATTGAGTTTGGTGTACAATGTGTATTGTGTGCCAGTTTCATTCGCACTGCATGATTAGCTTAGCTGCATATGCACACACCCACGCAGAAATCTTTAAAAAAAGAAAGGGATCATTCCCATATATGGAACAAGGAATGTTGATTTCTCTATGTAGTTTAATAGGCCTGTCATTTAAGGGGAATTAAGTGACTATTATTAGTACTCTCCCTTCCTATTTAATAATATACCAACTTTAACTTTGCATTGGTTTTTAGAAATGACATTGTGCGGCTTTTTAAAACTTTTTAAAAAGAAAATACGGAGTAAATCAATATTATCAATTACTCTGCACATGCTTTTTAAGTCTTTTTTTTAAGAAAACATGAAGATTATTTAAGAACATTCAAAAAACTAAAATTGCAAAGATCAAAATGAGGCAATACAATGGAAGCTTATTCCATGTTAATTTAGATCAAATGACAACTATGCTCCAAAGCTCCAGATCAACAATGACAGGAACACATTCTGGAGCGCAAAATATTAAACTGTTCATCAAGCTAAGTAGCTATATTTTCCAAAAACAGAATATTGTGTCCACTTCTCCTGACACGGAGAAAGGATTTGTGGGGCACTGTTCATGTTGAAGAACATATTTCATGCCATAACATTTTAACCTTAGTTTTATAACAAACTGCCTAACAATTCTGTCTTGACAGGATTTTGAATAGAGAATGCTAACAACAGACACACCCTGCCAACCAATCACCAATTAAACATACATAACTAACACTAGAGACACTTACAACAACAAGTTTCCCATCCACAGTTTTCTAAGTTTCACACAATCGGTTGGTTTGAACCAAATTTAGTAAGCCAGCATTTCTGTTGCTGCTGCTGCTTGAATAAAGGCTTCTCAGGTGAACATTCATCAACACTTATCGGTATTTCACCAGTAAGGATCTTTGCAGCAAATTCGATGCATGGATCTAATGCCAATACGCCTCCTCCACCAAAAGGCAACTCCTCCACACGGGACTGTAGATTTCCAGCAGATGAACTGAGGGATGACTGTGGAGTCATCTTGTCAGCCTTGTTCTCTTCTTCTCCAATGCATGGGATTGCACCGGTTAGAGTTTTTATGGCAAATTCTATGCATGGATCCATCCACACATCCTTCATCATCAACAATGATGATTCAGGCTCCCCTGCGGGTAAAGCAGCAGCAGTATCA